GGCTTTTTCTGTTTATGTGGTACTGAGGAATCGAACCCAGGGTTTCATGCATGCTAGGCAAGCACTCTACCACTAGGCCCTATTCCCAGCCCCCTCCAAGCTTTTTTGTTCAAGGCTAGTGCTCTACCACTTTGAGCCACGGCCCCACTTCTGGCTTTCTGGTAGTTAATTGGAGATAAGAATCTCATGAACTTTCCTGCCCAGGGTGGCTTTGTACCACAATCTTCAAATTTCAGCCTCCTGAATAGTTAGGATTACAAGTGTGAGCCACCAGCACCTGGCTTGAGTTCCTAAATTTATCTATAGTTTCTTAATCAATTTGATCTTTATGATGTACTTAGAGTTCCCCTATTTTATATTACTAATTCATTACTCAGCAAACATTCCCACCTGTGTTTATACTTCTGCAGCTCAGATTTGCTAAGACCAACGGTAATGACTGCAAGGCATCTGCCCTCCCTGTTTCTTTCTGGCTCTACTTTTCCACTTTGAAAATTCTGAATGAAAACAAGCTGCTTTGTGCACAGAAGAACACTTTTCTCAGATGTGGTGGGTTTGCTTGCCTACTGCCCTTTGTATCTAATTGCTCAATTGTGTGTTAATAAAGCAGAGCAGTCCTCTGTTTGACACAATTAACAGATGTAATTTTGTTTTCTTTTGTTTTTGGTGCCAATATTGGGACTTGAACTGAAGATCATATACTTTTGCTTGGCTTTTTCCACTTAAACCTGGTGCTCTACTACTTGAACCATGCCCCCACTTCCAGCATTTTGCTGATTAATTGGAGATAAGAGTCAATTCTTAAAACGTTTCTGCCCAGACTTGCTTCCTACTGTGAACCTCAGATCTCAGCCTCCTGAGTAGCTAGGTTTATAGGCATGAGCCACTAGCACCTGGCAGTTTACTGTCTTTGCATGGAGGGCAGCTCTTTATTGATTGAGAGCTTTCTGTGTGCTCAGCACTGTAATGTATGTGATCTTCGGTCTTCATGGTTTGTGAAGTCACTGTTCATCACTCCATCTTCTTGGTGACCATATGGAAGGTCCTAGCATTTCTGAGCCCACACGTTGAGAGGGGGCATGGAGCTAGACCAGGTGCATTACAAACCCTCATGTTTCCCATGAGACAGAGATTATTCAGAGAGGCTTATCTATCGCTAGTGTTCAAGTGCATAGGGTTTGGAGCCAGTTTCAACCGGCTTTGAATCTTGGCTGCAGATAGACTCTACAATTTGGACAAGTTGCTTAACCTTCCTGAGCCACATAAAGTTTCCCCAACTGTGCAATGGGAATGTTTTAGGTTATTGGGGCTGCTATAATAGAAATATCGTAAACAATACAAATGTATTGCCCACAGTCCTAGAGGTTGGGAAATCTAAGATCAAAGCACCAACACATTCCCTCTCGGGTTAGGGCCCACTGTCTGGTCACAGATAGTGACTTCTCCCTTGATAGAGTGGCATACAAGTTCCCTCAGACCTCTTCTAAAGGCACTGATCCCATTCATGAGGGTTCTGATCCCATAGCTTGATCACCTCCAGCAATATCATACTGGGGATTTCGTTTCAACTGTGAATGGTGGGGGTGGGTCACAAATATTTAGACCACAGCAGGAGATACTTACCTCCCAGGGTTAGGATGAGTATTTAACATCTATAGCACCTTGTAGCTGCAGTGTTTATAGAATAACTGGCACCCTGTGTTGTAAGGAAAAGAAAACCAAGAAGCCACGTTTTGAAGGATTGAATCTTGGAGTCTTTATTAAAAGGCCGGCAACTGCATGGTGGACTCCTGTCTCAAAGACCAGCAGCCAGCAAATACACTTAACACTGTTAGGAAACTGAGTCATGAAGGCCAGAGAGAAAAGAAAGAACAAAAACAATACCAACAAACCAATTCAGCTCCAGTGGAAAGCTGAACTGGGATGCCATGGTGACTGGAGAAGAGCCAGGAGCCGGGAGACAGGAACACTTGGCATGACGTAATGGTACCTGAGCTGGTGCTGGACTCAATAGGGTCAGGTCTGGGGGCAGGGTCATAGGAAACTACCAGTCCCAGGCTCTGGAGTACAGCTTTAGTAACCTATCAGCCAAGTGGCCACTTCTGCCTCAGGGATTCAGGCAAGCCATCACCTGTGCGTCAGGGCTTCACCTTCCCCTACTATGAAGAAGATGCCAGACCCTCGTATCCACCATGTGGCTGAGATGTCTCTGGCCAGACCTGATCTCCCTATTTCACCTGTATCTGAGAGCTAGGCTTTCAGGGTCTGGGTGCTGAGGGAAGGTGGACTGTGTGGAAGCCTACAGACAGCGAGGAACAGTTCTAAGGATGTACCTGCTCCCCTTCGAACAGGAGGTGTTCCTGTAAGCTGACAGAGGACAGGGCCAACATGGGCTATGTATTGTAAGCATACAGCTCAGAGGACACACCTGTCTATAGATCTGTTCCAGAAAAGTCCCGAGCTGGGCATGAGGAAGAGAGTTCAGAGAACACTGTGGGTCAGGGAGGACAGGGAATGCTTAGTAAGATCTTACAAGGGCTGAGCATGGTGGTGCACTTCTATAATCCCAGATACTCAAGAGACTGAGATCAAGAGGATGATGGCTCAAAGCCTGTTGAGGCATAAAGTTAATGAGGCCTATCTGCCTGCCTGCCTGCCTGCCTGCCTGCCTGCCTGTCTTCCTTCCTTCCTTTTTTACTTCCTTTCCTTCTTTCCTTTCCTTTCCTTCCTTCCTTCTTTCCTCCTTTCCTCCCCCTTTCCTTCTCTTCCTTTCTTTTTAGACTCTTAAACTGTCAGTGAAAGCAAGGAAAACATCCATCGTTTTTTTTTGTTTTGTTTTGGGTCCGGTCGTGGGACCTGAACTCTGGGCCTGGGCGCCATGCCTCAGCTCTTCAGCTCAAGGCTAGTGCTCTACCACTTGAGCCACAGCGCCACTTCCAGCTTTTTTTTCTGCTTATGTGGTGCTGAGGAATCAAACCCAGGGCCTCATGCATGCAAGGCAAGCGCTCTACCACTGAGCCACCTTCCCAGCCCACATCCATCTTTTTTTGTTGTAGAAACATTTCAGGATCACCTTACGTTTCATAAAACAAGACCTGTAATTGTCATTTCTAACATAGAAGGGGATGTTGGCTGAGTGGATGATATGTTACTGAAATTATCGCCATAAAGCAGACTGATATGCTCCTGGTTGGCTCTGTAGTCATGGATAAAGTGCACCAGTCCTCTTCCAGAAGCACTGGAACTCGGTTAGTTCATTTTATATTGGGAGGGAGTCCTAATGAAATTAGTCTGCACCTAGACTTTCTTTCACTGTTGCTGTGGAAACCAGCAATAGAAAATGGTGGGTTGAAAAAGAAAAATAATCAGTGCTAAACAGCAGTAAAGTATAAGAGAAGTACGATGCTTTTTTAAATACAGAATTGTAAATAAAAATCATGATACTTGGAACCAAGCAAGAGACGAAGAAGGTTCTGAATGCATCAAATACTGAAAGTGTACATGGTTTCCCTAGGAAAGATGTGGAAAACAAATCAAATGATTTTTTTTCAATAATGAATTCCGATTTATTTATCTATTTAGTTAGTTAGCCATTGGTTAGTTTTTATTAGTTATTATAGTGCTGGGGATAGAATCCTGGGCCTGACAAATATTCTACCACTGAGCAATCCTTCTAGCCTCAAATTGCAAAGAATATTTTCATCACTGCCGCATTCAGCAAAGTACCAGGTAGGCTCCCAGATAATCATTTTTTTTTCTATAAACAGGAAGAGGAACTGGTTGGCTTTGGAGAGAGAAAATGTTCCTAGTTGAAATGGTTTCCTTCCAGCTGGGGAAGAAGCAGGAGCAGAGGTGGTGGCTGGCTAAGTGAGCTGCCTGTGTTTTTTTCCGGGTGGCTGTACTCGAGTAGGGTGAGGGAGAGAATGCTCAGGAGACTTAGCCACCCCTTCTTTGGGGACTGTTTATGCCCTAGGGGAGTGGCCTCTGGAACTGCTTGTCAGCTGTGGGTGGTTTTTATGTTTGTTTTCTTTTCTATTTTCTTTTTGGCAGTACTGAGGTTTGAACTCTATACCACTTGAGCCACATCCTCAGCCCAGCCTGTGTTTTTTTTTTTTTTTTTTTAAAGTGCAGCTTTGATGTTCTGTGTTTTAGGTGCCTGTGTCACACTAATGGCTTGGCCAACAGAACCCATGAGGACAGGCAGAGGCAGGGTCAGAGCCGGATGAGATGCATGAGGGCTTTTCATTTGGTCCTGGTGATGTTGCTGACTAAAAAACTACAAGCTCAGAGAGGGGAGGGGAGGATAGTTGCCCCTCCCCTAGGAATGACCGTGCTGATGGGGTAATGGCAAGGCGGAGGCGACTCTGCCTGGCAGAGAAAAATGAATACAGAGCTATATCCTGCTACTGAGAATCATTTTTTCTTTCATAAATTACTTCAGATAGGGCAAGGATTCTATCGTCTTATGTCAGGTCTAACCAATTAAACATGCTTTATTAATTTTTAAAATGATACCCATTTTTATCCAAAAAGAGTAATTTTGTGCTTCTGTGAAATCTAACTTTCAAGTAATTCATTTGTATCTGTTCAAGAAAAACGGGATTGTTCTTTCACCAGCCCTTAAATTGCAAGGCTGTGGACATCTTATACCTTGACTCAAGCTGTCTGTGTATCTGTGAGCACTTATGGTGTAACACCATGTTAGCTATCCATGACAGAGAATATGCTTTAATTTGCTGAAAAGTAATGTCTCAAGGTCAATAATATTTCAAATCTGTTTCAATAATTTGGTTCAATCTGCTTTAGGGCTAAAGAATTAGACTAGCACAAAGGTATCCTCTCAGGAGTGGGATATTTCTGGCCAGATCCTAGGCTTATTTGTGGTAGCAGCTGCCAGTGTGGAGGATGGGGTTTGTGGGATGGGGGAGGGTAAAGCTTTGAGACCTCACTCACAGGTTCATGTTTTGGAAACACGCATTTTCCTTTTTGTTCTTCTCCAGAAAGACAAACATGCGAAGCGCAGCCAAGCCCTGGAATCCAGTTGTCAAAGCCAGTAGCCATGGCCCTGACCGTGCCCGGCCTCTCCCTACAACCTCTTCCGGCATGAAAAGTTCAAAATCTTCAACCTCGTTGGCTTTTGAGTCCCGACTGAGCAAGGTACAGACTTGGAGGGTGGGCTGTGCCAATCCTCAGTGGCCTGAGTGGGCAGGATTAAAGAGGGCTGTGGGTAAACTGGTGGCCCCTCAGGGCAAGAAAGAGGGTTCCCCAGGATGGGCTCCCTTAGATCTAGTATGCTGTGGTAGTGGGGGTGCATTAGGATTGAGGAAGAAATGAAATGCTTAGCACAGTAGTTAAGGATGACACAGCTGCTCTACGCAGTGCTCCAGCACTGCCCTAGATGGGGCCAAAGTCATCTCAATAGTAACAGTTCAAGCATCAATTCTCCATCCTGCTCTTGCTGGGCCTGCCAGCACCTAGTCACACCTTCTATTAGGAAACCTGTTCTTCTCTCAAGCTCTCTCTTCCTGCTTGTTCCCCTCATCTCCAAGGTTAGGTGGGCTGAGGGTAGTCCACTCATCTCTCTTTCAACTCCATTCATTCTCTGTGTTGTACCCAACACTTCCCTAGCTGTCCTGAGATGAGATTCCTAGGAAATTCACCAATCTCTTTGAAACTTTTGAAAAATTAATATAGTATCCTGACTAGCATAAAAGGGAAGTGTTAAATCATATTCTGCAATGGTTAAGCTTGATCATCAGAGGACTGCTGACATTGATGGTACAGCCTGATTCAGGCCTGTTGCCTTGATAATTCAGATAACATGAAGGAGCCAAGGAGAGAGTGATGAGATTGTTGTGAATTGGTGGATAAACTCCATGGAGTTCTGAGCAGACTGAGCACAGCCTTCCTTTGTTTTGTTTTTGTTTTACCATGGTTGGATTCTTACAATGTTCAGTGGAGCATAGAGCTGGACCATGGGTACCTTGTCTTTTGGTGAAAATGAAAGATATCTCCATCTTAGGCCCAGATGACAAGAAAAAGGTGTTCCATCCATGTGGATGTCGGAAGAACCTGTGAAAATTGGTAGTATGATGGGAAGTTCTCTGTAAATGTGTCATGTGCATTGTAGGACATCTTGATTTCCCTTTCTGTCCTAGTAAATATCAGTAGCAAGTCCAGTCATGGTGACATCTCAAATTGTACTCTCCCATTTCCAAATCTACAAGAACTATTCCCACTGATAGCCATTTTCTTAGGTGACAGTGTCTGTTTCAATGCTATATGTGGATGACATCCAAATTCCTTCTTCATCCAAGACTGCCTGTGTGACAGCGCCCTGTGGATGTCTGAACACTACCTCCAGTATAACATGTCCAAAAGTGGATCTTGATTACTTCCCATCCATCTTGATCACCTAAACCTGCTCCTCCTAAATCTCTTTTAGAGTAAATGGCACCTCTGTTTTTTTCAGTTGCTCAAGCCAGAGCCTCTAGCATCAACCTGAGGCCTCTTTTGCTCATGTCCCATGATGTATCAGTGAAATGGCATCACTTTTGCCTTAGGAATATGGGTCACCTTGCTGTTTTGTAGAATGGGAACTTCTTTGTACAACTACTTAAAGCTAATAAAAAAAATTAAAAAGAATATGGGTCACTTACAGCCATTTCCAACCACTTCCCTTGTGACTGGCCAAACTCCCCAAAGCATCTCTCTGCTTTATTCTTCATGCTCTACATGCTATTCTCACCAGAAGCAGAATAGTTCTTTGAACACACAAATCACAGCACTTTTCTGCTGAAGTCTCTCCAGGGCTCTCTCCATTCACTCAAAGGGAAAAGCAAAGTCCTTCAAGTGGCCTGTGATGCCCTCAAGGCGCAACTCTATTCCCTTTCTGACAGTGTCACACTCCTCTGTTCCTGGGCTCCCAGAACATTGGCCATCCAGTCTCTGGTGACCATGATAGTAGCCCCTCACATATGCCAGGCACACTCCAGTGACAGCATGTTTGTCTTATCTTCTGCTTAGCAGCCATTTTATCAGAGATTTTGTTCCTGATCACACTGTACAAAGCCATCCACCTTTCTCACCCTGCCATAGTGTCCCTCTCAGTACTTACACTATCATGTGTAAGACAATCTCCCCGAGGGTGGAATAGAAGCTCTAGGGTGGCAGAGTGGGGGGGAAGGGGTTAAGAGTGGGAATTATCTGCTTTACCATTGTTGACAGTTCTGACCCGAAAGCTTAGAAAATTGCCTCCTGCCTGCTGACCAGTGGGCACTCCATTTTTATTGAAACCTTTGTCTCCTGTTCTCTGGGAATCTTGGCTGTGCCACTTGGTGGCATTTATGGAGCTGTGTCCAGGACTTGTGCTTCTTGTGAGTAGCAAATAAGGTTTAATTTTCCATGAGTGTCTGACACTTGACTTTATGACTTTATTGTTCTCTTACTCTGTATTCAACCATATTACTAGGGTTGATTTTTATTGTCTTTTATCTAATTGCACATTTAACTTAGATTTAAAATGGATAATATTATTCCACCAATAATATAGTGAACACATTCAAGGTATTTACCAATAATGTGTGAATTTTTTTTACAGGGTCTCACTAGGCTGCCCTTAAACATGAGATCTTACTTCCTCAGCCTCCTGAGTTCTGGGCTTATAGGTGTGCACCACTTGGCTTTCTAAAATATTTTTAAAGTAGTATTTAAGAAAAAGTTCAGACAGGTGCCAATGGCTCAAGCCTGTAATCCTAGCTACTTGGGAGGCTGAAAATGGAAGACTTGAAGTTTGAGGTGAGTCCAGGCAGAAAAGTTTGCAAGACCCTTCTTAACCTGGAGCACAGTAGTGTACAACTGTCACCCTAACCTCTCTGAGAGGCTCAGGTTTGTAGGATGATGGTTCCAGACCAGCCTGGGCAGAAAACTCCACAAGATTCCATCTCAGCAGAAGAAAGCTGGATGCGGTGATATATCCCAGCAGTGATAGCCCAGAATAGTTGGGTCATAACCAAGCATGCACTTAGGCAAAAAACAAGATCTTGTCTTAATAATAACCAGTGAAAGCTGGGCACTGGCAGCTCACGCCTGTAATTCTAGCTACTCAGGAGACTGAGATCTGAGAATCACGCTTCAAAGCAGCCCAGGCAGGAAAGTCTGTGAGGCTCTTATCTCTAATAAACCACTAGAAAACTGGAAGTGGCACTGTGGCTCAAGTGGTAGAGTGCTGGCCTTGAGCTGAAGAGCACAGGGACAGTGCCCAGGCCCAAAGTTCAAGCCCCACAACCAACAAATAAAATAAAATAACCAGTGAGAGACATGGATGGAGGCATGGCTTACTGGTAGAGGGCCTGCTTAGCAAGTGTCAGGCTTTGAGTTTTAACTCCCAGTAGGGTAAAGGAAGAAAAGAAAGAAAGAAAAGAGAGATGAAAGAAGGAAGGAAGAAAGGAAGGAAGGAAGGAGGAAAAAAGATGGAAGGAAGGAAAAAGATGGAAGGAAGGAAAAGAAAGGAAGAAAGATGGGAAGAAAAGGAAGAGGGAAAGAAAAAAGAGAAAGTTCTGAAGTGCAAGACTATTTCCTGGGGAGAAGTTGGTGTTTTGGTAACTCATTACAAATACTTCTGTTTGAAATTTTCTGCTTTCCTTTCTGACTCTTGGCTTTCTTGGCTTGATTTTTTTTTTTTTAGAAAGAATGACAGGGCTGAGGAAAAAGAGTAGCAGAAGGAACTGAATCATGCCTGTCCCCTTTGTTGCCCTTGTCCTGTTCCTCTATGCTTACAGTATCTTTCTACTGAGGTTATAGGTAGAGAAAGAGGACTAAAAATCCAGAAGAGAAAAAGAGGAAATGTGGTTGTTAGAAAAACAAGTAGAGTTCCTTTCCCTAATAGTTTACTATGAGAAATTTCAAGCAGACAAGGAAGTTGAATTATGCACCTGGACTGTACCAGTCAACATCTTACTTGATCCACTTTAGAGTAAATGAATGTATTATGTTTTAACTGGTTAAAAACAGGAAAGCTGAATCAAGTCCACCAAAAGTAGACTTCAATTCAATACCCAGTTTCACTGTACCTGCAGTGAAAGAATAAAGCAGAGAATACAGGAACCTAAATGGGAGTGGAGATGCTAATGGACCTCTTCCTCACCATATTGGGGTGCCAGAAGTACACAGCTTGTGCAGGCCAGCCCATTCTGGCCATTTGGAAGGTACATGTCACTGGGTGCCAGTGGCTAATGCATGCAATTCTAGTTACTCAGGAGGCTGAGGATCAAGGTTTAAAGCCAGACCAGGCAGACAAATCCGAGAGTCTCTTATTTCCAATTAGCCAGCAAAAAGCCATAAGTGGTAGTGCACTATACTTGAATGAAAAAAGCCAAACAAGAGTGTAAGATCCTGAGTTCAAACCAATACACACACACACACACACACACACATAAACACAAACACACAAATCCATACCAGATTTGAAGAGTTAGTACAAAAAATGCAGAGTACTTCATTAATAAACAGTCATTTGCCACACGATAACATTTTGGTCAATGATGAAGGCATATGCATAAGACTTTAATATTGTTGAAGAATTCACAGTCTTGATTATCAGAACAGAATTCTAATTCTTGTTTGTTTGTTTTTTTGTCGGTCGTGGGGCTTGAACTCTGGGCCTGGGCGCTGTCCCTCAGCTCTTCAGCTCAAGGCGAGCGCTCTACCACTTGAGCTACAGCACCACTTCCGTTTTTCTGGTGGTTTATTGGAGATAGGAGTCTCACGGTCTCTCCTGCCCGGGCTAGCTTTGAACCACGATTCTCAGATCTCAGCCTCCTGAGTAGCTAGGATTACAGGCGTGAGCCACCAGCGCCTGGCTAGAATTCTAATTCTTGAAATTGAGCAATGCCATTCCATTGACTTTGCTCTTTGTCTTTAAAGTTAGTTATTCAGGGTTCTTTGTGTCTCCACAAAAACTTTAGAATCACCTTGTGATTTGTTTATATATTGATAATGCATGCCTGTTTTTATTATATAAATTTTAAATGTTTCCTCCTAGCTTATCCCTTTGTTCTTTTTCAGAGAAATGCTTTCTTTTCACATGGAATCTAATTTACTGGTATTTTATTTTATGGACTATGCTTTTATTGTCATATCTAGACTTTTCTCCTGTC